CTGTCTCCAGCTTCAGAATAGTGAGAAGCAAATAAACATGAACAGTCATATAACCCGTATCATGTCCAGAGTGCTTCTGCAGGTAGCTTGGAATAAAAGCCACAGGAGAGAGGCAAATCCTATGGTCCTCATGAGTTGTAAGGAAAGAGATAAGGAGGAACCAAGTGCCCTGCAGAGTCGAGGGGGAGAATGTCTATGTTGTGTATTTTCTAGGAGTATAACCCTATGAAGAAGCACGTCCATGGGCTGGAGGGCTACAGAGAAGCACAGAGCAGAACAAATGTAAAGTGAACACCAACTATAAGCAAGGGTTATCTTAGAGCACCCAGGTGAGAATTCTCACGTGCAGCTCTCCATTACAGAACAACATCAGAAGCCAAAGTACAAGGGTAGCAAAGAGGACCTGCTCAACGCACATGCAGAGATGACGTGTTACTTAGTAGAAGCACAATCTCCCAATAGGCTGGTTTGTCTGAGAAAGCTGCTCAAAGCTGGAGCACATGGGAGAGTCCTGGAGGCAGAATAGAATTTTTTTCTAGTACCCAAATCACCCTAAAAAAAATCACATAGACTGCTGAGCCTTACATCAATCTATGATGAATAGCTCTCTGAGTATTAACTGGAATCTGCTTGCTGTTACTAGGATGAAACACACACAAATTGATGAAGGGTGACCAGCAATATCATCCCATTTCAGCAATGATCAACTCCCAGTCATTCTTTTCTCAGCTATATACCTATCTCTTCCAGTATTATGGAACTTGCATTTTTATTTTAATTGAGGCTTCTGATATAATCAGATTCACTTTAGTGTGTTCTGGGAACCATGGATCAACACAAGGGTCGGTGGGAACAAAGGCCTAGAGAAATGGAAGAGCTTGGTATCTGAGGTAAAGTATCAGATAATCTAGAGTAATTAGAGGGTGGGATATGTGGCTAAGAGAAATGCTGTGAAGGGTCAAAACTTCATCAGGGGCCACCAGGGCCCTGTGAGCAAATGTTTTATGTCTTATGTGAGAGGCACTGTGTGGTTGGCTTGAGTGTTTGTCCTGTCATTGTAATGGGGACTGTTAAGAGGTAGTTAGGGCTCAGCCTTCACCAATGGCTTAATGTCATTATTACAGGAGGGAGTATGCTCTCACAGCTCCAACCCCACCCCTCCTCTCCCTCCACCACTGTGCCCTTGGGCCATATGATACCTCCCACAAATTTTACAATGTGGCAAGCATGCCCTCCTCAGCTGTCAGCATCTAGATCTTGGATTTCCAGAACTGTGAGTTGATAAACATCTCTATGTTATGTTAGTCAGTCTCAGGTATTCTGTGATAGCAGCACAAAATGAAGATACATGAAGACTTCCTCTGGATGGAGAATACATCCTTTCTTGGTGCTGCAGCAACCTACACAGCTAGACTGGGGCTGGCTACTGTTCCCACCCACCACCTGCACCTTTTACTTTATGCTGCACCCAAACCACAGAGCCATGTACACTGCAGTTTGAGGATGAGACAACAAGAAGTTTTAGATCATGGAGCGGTCTGGGTTTTATCTTATAGGGGCTAAAGAATGATAAGAAGAGGACATATAATAATCTGCCTTAAAAGAATGCTGAGCAGCAATGGGGAGGGGGAGAAAGAGGACAGACTAGGGGGTGGAAAACCAAGAGGCAGTAAGTGAATCAGTTAGGAAACTGCTATTAAGCAGCCAAGGAAGGAAGGAAGGAAGTCTTAAAAGGTCAGACTTCAAGAGGAAGAGCTCATTTTGGGGCTGGGTACATAGATATGAAAGTCAACGGCACATAGGACTCATTTTAAGTCATGGAACAATTGAAACTGCGCAGAGAGATTACATAGGGCAAGAATAAAGAGGAATGCAGGCCTTAAGGAAACTAGAATTTAGAGAACGGGGCCAATGAAGAAAGGAGCCTGTTTGGGTAAGATATAGACAGGATATAGAAATGGTCAGGTAGATGGCAAGAAGAAAGAGATGGACAGAGAGGCAGAGAGAGGCAGAGAGGCAGAGAGAGAGAGAGAGGGAGGGAGAGAGAGAGAGAAACGAGAATGACTCACATACTCATATAAGCCAGTGGAGCCAAAGTAGTTACAGGCATTGCGAGAGGAAGCAGAAACACAAAAGAAGGTCAAGCACCTAGGTCAGTACCTGGAATATCAGGCTAAGAGTCTGTAGCTGGAGTCTGAAAAGCTAGGGCAAGACGTGTCATGGTAAACAGGAGTTGATCAGGTGATCAGTCATTACATTTCCTAGGGTTGTCATGGCCTTTATTCTTTTTTTTTTTTATTGTGAAAATACTGTACAGAGGGGTTACAATTACATGGGCAAGATAATGAGTACATTGCCTCCTCCTTAGTTTCCCCTTCCATCCCTTCCCATCTCCCACCTACTCCCCCCCACCCCCACCCCAGCCAAAGTTGTAAAGTTCGTTTTCTTTGAAATAACGATTTGTACATCTCATTGTTGCAATGGGTCCACCTGTATCCCTATTTAAACGATTTTTTCCCCTTCCCCTCCATTTCTTACATTTGCAACTGTGTCCCTCTAGTAAAATGTGAGTGACTCTCCCTACTCTAACAGAGATGGTGTAGGGAAGACATCCATCCCAAGAATCACAGTTGTTCTTGTCACTGGCCACTAACCAGACACCAGGTACTTCCTTGTAACTCGATCAACTTTTCAACTGTAGTTTGTTCGCCAGCAACTGCTGACAGGAGGCGCCTATCAGCACTGACTAGGCCCGGAGGCAGTATGGCCAGAGGCAGTTGGATATAGAGAAGGGGCAAGGGGAGGGCACAAGCACAGAAAAGCTGGGCCACGTCGTGAGTGTAAGGACTCATCAAACCATAATGAGTTTAAGTCACAAAAATACCATGGAAAGTAAAGAAGGTAAATCTCAGTGGGCCTGCTATGATCTCAGGATCTCTCTCTCATGTAAGGAGACCCTGTGATCTACCACTGATCAATAGAACAAGACAAAGGGGATAAGGAATTTCTTTTTTGGTCAGTTGTGGGGCCTGAACTCTGGGCCTGGGCTCTGTTCCTCAGCTCTTCAGCTCAAGGCTAGCGCTCTACCACTTGAGCCACAGAGCCACTTCTGGCTTTTTCTACTTGTGCGGTGCTGAGGAATCGAATGTAGGGACTCATGCATGCAAGGCAAGCACTCTACCACTGAGCCACCTAGGGAATTTTTTTTTTTTGAGACAGGGTCCCTGGGCTCACATGATTCTCCTACCTCAACCTCCTGAAGTAAATGTGATCATAGGTATATATCACTCACCACACCCAGAATGGGCACCAAGATCTCATAGATATAATGAAGTCTCTCAATCATTTGCTTTGAGTTTAACCAAAAAGGACATTATTTTGATGGGCCTGATTAGAGCCCATGAAAAGGTCCAGGTCCTCCCTGAGATTAGAGACTTGAAGGAAGAAAACTCTTCTGCTAGCCTTGAGCCAGTCGTGTGCATTCTAAAGCTCTGAAGACAAGGATACTGCCATCAGCACAGAAGCTTGGAAAAGGAACCCAGTCTTCAAATGGGCAGGCAGCCTGGCTATCCATCCACCCCAGCCTGGGGGACACAGGTGAGATATACCTGTCCTCTCCAGCCACAGAAGCTGCAAGGTACAAAGTAGGGCATTGTTTTAAACCTTTAAGCCTGTGATGATGGGCTATACAGCAATAGAAAGCACTGACTTGGGCCTCCTCAATACAGGCCATGACAGCAGGCTAAAAATCATGGGCTTTGCCATATGGCCTGTAAGGGAACCACTGACTACATTTTCCTTGCTTTAGGGAGCTAAGAAATAGTAGGAAGAACAGAAGCATGAGATGAGTTTGACTAGAGCCCTCCAAAGAACAGCTAGACATGATTTTCTTTGCTCCCAGACGCATATCATATATGCTTAGGCAAGTGACTAAGTGCTAGGTTAAATCAAGCTAGCCACTCTTCCACCCAATTAAAAAGAAAAAAAAAAAAGAGGGGAGCGAAGACCAAGTCAGTGATTCAAAACCTAGCCAGAAACTAGTGGCTCATGCTTGTCATCCTAGCTATTTAAGAAGCTGAGATCTGAGGGTTGAGGTTCAAAGCCAGGATGGGCAGGAAAGTCCATGAGATTCTTATCTATAACTAACCACCATAAAGCCAGTAAGTGTGGTTCAAGTAATAGAGTGCCAGGCTTGAGTGAAAAGGCCAAGCGATAGTACTTAGGCCTTGAGTTCAAGCCTCAGTACCAGAACAAAAAAAGAAATGAAAAACCTGAAGGAACCTCAGTATTCCTGTGGCTAATTATAAATATTTACTTCTCCCAGAATTCCAGAATTCCTGACCTCACAGAAAAGACTACGTAAATAGTCCTACTCTCTTACTGGAAAATGTGTGTGTGTGTGTGTGTGTGTGTGTGTGTGTGTTTCTTGGAAGGGGATTGAGCAGTAATAAAAAAACTAAGGGATCTGAAAAAAGTCACTTCCTGTTGGATAATGTCTAGTTCCCACTCCCCACCCCCCACTCTAGATCCTAACCCCCAAGACCTCCAAGCAACTCCTCCTTCCCCGATTCTATCAGTTAGAGCAACTAAGCCAAACAAACTCAGGAAGTGGCAGAAGATCGGAAAGGGGGAGGAAGTCCAGGGCACAGAAGGAAGAAGTCAAGAGAATGCCCTGATCTTCAAGGAAGAGGGTGGGGAAAGAGAACGAAATGAAGGTTGCCCCAAGGTCGCTCGGCGCCAAGCCTTTAAATGTCATGCTTGAGCTTTAAATCAAAACTGGCACAAACAGTTGGTCAAATCTCCCGGGGCCATTCAAATATTAACATTCATGATGATAAACAGCCCACCAAAAAAGTTCCTCTGTAAGCAAATTGGAACAAACAACTAAGCTAAAACGGGTTGCTGAGAGACCAGTTGGGCAAAAGCCAAAGGCAGTTTAAGTGTCTGGGGATGTTTTTATTATTATTGGTTTTTTACTGTCAAAGGAGAGAAGAGGCTACCTGTATATCACTCCATGTTGGTGAAGGAACATGAGGGCAGACGTGACCTCTGCAGCATAGAACCGTGATCGAGGCTCATCGAATTTGCGGGAACGTTGAATCTGGAACATGAGGTCTCCACCATTTACATATTCCATGACGAAAAAGAGGCGGTCCTGAAAGGAGAGAAGAAAATGACACTGAGGTCACTTCATTACAACTGTCTCCACAGGCCAGCATCTTGTGGCCTGATCTAAGATAGTCACAAGTGAACCTAAAGGAATGCCCAAAGGTGAGTGGATGCTGGTAGCACATGATCCAGCAAGGAGACAAAGGGATGATTCACACAAATGAGGTGTCATGTGTTATTTCAAAGCAGCTCTCTTCTTTTTGTGGATATCAGCTTGCTCTAGTGGAAGAAGCCTGAATTGACACAATGGAGAACTGAATTATGGCTCTGGACAAAACTCTTCCTTTATGGAGATGCTAAGTACTTTTACATGTGTGATTAAATAATGGTTCTCCAAATAAATCACACATAACCTTGGATGTGTAAATGTTACCTTATAGGGCAAAAAAAGATTGTGCAGATGTGATTAATTTCAAGATCTGAGAAGAAGAGAATGGGTTGGCTACCAGGGTGGGCTTTAAATGCAATCACAAGTGTCTTCATAAGAGGTGGGGGGAAGAGAAGAAGAAGCAATGTGACCCAAAAAGCAGAGATTAAAGTATTGTAGCCATAAACCAAAGAGAAGCAAGAAAATACAAGAAACAGTGAGCTTGAACTCAGGTCCTAGGCACAGTCCTTTAGCTTTATCTGCTAGCTTTTTCTGCTCAAGACTAGTGCTCTATCAGGTCAACCACAGCACCACTTCTGCCTTCTTTTGCTAGTTAATTGGAGATAGGAGCCGCATGGACTTTGAACTGTGTCCCTCAGATCTCAGCCTCCTGAGTAGCTAAGGTTACAAGTGAGCCACTGGTGCTCAGCTAGCACAGTTCCTTGATTATTATTTTGTAAATGCCTAGCATCTGATTGGGATGTTAGGCAGCATGCCAGGAAGAACAAGTGGTAGCTGCCCTGAAGTCTTATAATCCAGGAATCGAGATAGGGAATGAGCAGGAGGATTCAAATCACAAACAAGATCTGAGTGCAGTAAAGACATTGGGTGCTGTGAAATTTTTGAGAAAGGTCAGCTCCAAACTAGAGGTCATGGAGGATTCTAGATGAAGCCAGGCCTTGAAAGAAAGAGAAGGTGTATGTGTGGGGTGGGGAGTGTGGAGGAAGGTCCAGGATGTGGGGACAGAGTGAACATCCTTAGGAGACAGGGAAGTGACCAGATCAGCTGGGGAGGTAGGTTAATTGAGGGTTTGAGGGGCCAACCAGCAGGTTGCATTCTTAACATATAAATATGGTCTAAGTGAAGCTTGCTGGTAGAGATGATTTTCCATTCAACTAAGTAAAACCTATTTGTGATACTTTGTGTGTGTGTGTGTGTGCAAGTCCTGGAACTCAGGGCTTTTGCTCAAGGCTATCACACTGCTACTTTTAGCCACAGCTCCACTTCCAGCTTTTCTCTGTGATTAACTGGAGGTAAAAGTCTCATGGACTTTCCTGCCTAGGCTGGCTTCAAACTGTCATCCTCACATCTACTTCATTCATCACTTTTGTAAGTCCATAATTATTCATCCTAACTGCCTTAACCTCCTTAATCATGGAACTTCTCTTCCATCTGCTTCCACGTCAAGGCCTGCTTTCAATTTAACCATATGTATATGTGTATGTGTGTATGAGTACTGGGGCTTGAATTCAGGGCCTGCGCACTTACCCTTAGCTTTTTCACTCAAGGTTAGTGCTCTACTACTTAATTCACAGCTCTACTTCTGAATTTTTGCTAATTAATTGGAGATAAATATTTCATGGACTCTTCTGCCCAGGCTAGCTCAGAACCACTGACTTTGAACTGTGATCCTTGGCTCTCAGTCTCTTGAATAACTAAAATTACAGGTGTGTGCCACCACACCCAGGTCAATTTCTCCTTTATACTTTGGAGTTCAGGTTACCTTCTGAGTGTCCCTCCAATGATCCCTTCCCCCTTTCATACCCTCATTTCAAAAACCAAAGCTTAAGACACCACCACAAGGATATGGACATCTCTGAAGGTTGAAATCAGGTCCCCATCATAGTTAATGCTCTATAGTGATCCCATTGCATAGCAAGGGATGACCAGGATCACAGATTCATCCATTTGGATTCTGTCAGGGCAGTTTAAAGACTATAGATTATTCCTTTTTTCCCCTCCTTTTCAGGATTTCCCCTGAGAACAAGAGCTCTCAAATGTGTGCATTAGAATCACACTGACGCTCATGAGAATATGGTTCCCTGGGGTCCTCACCCAGAGTTTCTGATTCAGAAGATCTGGGGTATGGCCTAAGAAATCCTCATCTGTAATGAATTCCCAGGGGCTGCTGCTGGTCTGGAAACCATTCTTTAAAAACCACTTCCCTGGAGTACTTGGGCCAGCCTTTAACATGGTAGATCTAGCTGCCTTACTCCTCTAACACTGCCCACCCTAAAGGAACCATTCCATCAGAAAGAACAAGTGAAATGCCCACTCTGTTCCCCTGACCTTGGGCTGTAGCAACAAGGGTGGACTTCCTTAGCTGTATTTGAAAGAATCAATATCTCTAAAGAAACTCCTCCCCTCCTCCTCTTGGATGCTTTTTATTCTACCAACACTACACATGTAGCATTAAGTAGAAGGACTGTGGAGTCAGAAAGAAGAGGCCTCATGCTGACTACTCACTGGCAGTGCGACCTCTGAAGAATGACTATCTCTCTGTAATCACTTTTCTGCCACTGACGTGGGCTTTCCTCTCCCTGCTGTGAAGTGCTGAAATCTCCCTAGGCCTTCCTCATGGAGTAATCTCATCTTCATCCACCATTTCCAAAGTCCTCTTCATGGATGACACCTGCCTTTAGAACCTCTGTCTTGGACTTCTCCTCTGAGTTCCAAACCTGGTATCCAAACTCATGTCTGACCTCTCTTCAGATGCGCCCAAAGCACTCAAATATAACATGTCCCAACACATTCCATCAGCAGGGGAGGCCTTTACCTTCCAGCCAGTTTCAAAAGCAGGGTGCCTAAGGAAGCATCTTTACCCTTCTCTCTCCTTCATCCTGAAAGGGGTCACCAAGCTCTGTTGCTTTTACTTTTTTGTACCTCTCATACATATCCAGTTCTTTCCACTGCCACCACCTTCATGACTACCACTCCAGGCCAAGCAATGAGCACCTTTTGTCTAAACTCTTGAATTGCCTTGTCAGTAATGCTCCACACTCTTATTCTAGGCCCCATCCAAATACTGGCCACACTACAGGCAGAAGGACCCTGCTTAAAGGAAGCTCTGATTCAAATTCATCTCCCATCTTGTTCTTACTCTACTGATTCTTTTAAAGGCTTCTCATTATTCTTGGAATAAGCAGAAGACCCTTTAATGTACTCAAGGCCTGTAGAATCTTTAGAGTTATGTTCCCTATAGCTACCCCTCATTCCCTCTGCCCCGGGGTGTTGACTCATGTTGTTTTTACTGCTTGGAATGTTTGCTCCCTTCCTCTCCCAAAATGAATCCCTTACTCATTTTTCCTCCAGATTTCAGTGCAGCCGTCTTTTCTTGGAGGAAACTATCTTTAACTTCATTGATGAAGTCAAATGCCCTGCTATATGCTACTTGCCTTGTTGTAGCCAAGTGCTACCTATGTACACCAAAGTAAAGGCCAGTGGAGGTTTTAATTAAGTACCCATTAATTTATGCTTTTACTACAAGTCTATATGACTCATGAATGCAGGAGCTGCAGGTAATTCTAGTGGCTTAGTTTTTGTTTTGTTTCTAGTACTGGGCCTTACTACTTACTAGGCAAGCACTTTACCACTTCAACCATGCCCCTCCTTTTTTAGTTTTTTAAAAATAATGTCCCCCAGATAGGATCTTAGAAGGCAATTCTCCTATCTGAGCATCACCAGCTGCAGCTTCTGGCCTGCACTTCTTTGTTTGTTTTTTGAAGGAATTAGAGACCCTAAGGGGAAGCTGCTTCAATTCCATTTAAAACTATATGGGCACAAGAACAACAACAACAAAAAACTTCAGAGGGCTATAAGACAGAAATAGAACCAACGGGTGGCCTAATATTTGCATCTGCAAGTTCTTATTGTTGAGTGAGTTAAAGCTGAATCATCCTGCTGTAGGGAGCCTTCTGACTGTAAGATATGGAGAGCGGTGACCACTTAGACTACTGTAGCACTGGGTGACAGCGTTGGACAGTCGTCTGGGCCAGTGGAAAGTTGTCTTTACCTCCCAATGAGACAGTCAGCCCTTTGAGGAAAACATCTCATTCTTCTAAACACCCCAACCCAAATAAGCTCAAGTCTGCAACTTAGCTGGCACTCAGGAAACATTGTTCCTTCCACTTAGCATTATGAGAGGAGGACGTTCAGTTGCTTGAGTTCCTAGCTAGATAGGTACTCTACCTAGCTAGGATTGAGACTGACATGTATCTGGGTCTAAATATTATCTGCACTAAGGGTCTGCTTTCTTATTCTTGAACATCCACCATAGACAAGGCTCCCATTGCTAGTCATCCAAAAGCAACCCAGAGTTAGTTTCCCATGTGATTTCTCTGGTTAACCTCACTCTGAGGCATTCTAACATTAGCCCATTTTGACCTTTAGTTTTAACCTTCTTTCTTCTCACTACAGCTCCATTGTCCCAAAGCAAAACCAACTCTTTTTACATATTAGGCATGTTTTTGGACAAGATAAGCTTTTCGTTTTCCCCTCCCTCTATTCAGTGAGTGTGGATTACTGCTGACCTCCAACTCAATGCATTTGAGAAGCATGTTTTGATGGCCAGGGAGAACCTCAAGTCATTCTGGGAATGGCTTAATTATATAAACTGAAATCAAAAGAAAGCTGGCAAACCTAGCGGCTACTCATTAATCCCCTCTTGGCATAGGTAGAAAACAAAACAAAAAACCAACTTCCTGGTAAAGTAAGCAAATATGTTTTCTGAGGTAATCAAAGATTTTAAAAGCCTTATTCCACCTCCTCCTCCCTTAATCTCCCTTGAATGTCTAAAATGTTACGGTCTGTGATATTAAATAAAATAATCAAATTAGGAA